CATGCACGTGGAGAGGTCAGAGGTCAATGCTGGATGCCTTTATCACTCTCCACTTCATTGATTTGTTTGTTTTGATTCAGGGCTCCTCAGTAAACCTTAGGCTCATCACACACACACACACACACACACACACATTCAACATACAAATACATACTGATAGTAATAAACAAAAATTAAAAGAAATAAATAGAAGGTACTTCAAATGGAAACTCTAATACACTTATTCCATCATACCCCACTCCCCAACCCCCAGAAAAAATCCTCTTTGATTTTCCAAGTCTCTCTTGAGAAATCCCTACATGCACAGTGGTTAGTTCCTCTGAACATAATGATGCCTGTCTTCACAGCTACCCCAAGCCGACTCTTCGAGAAGTTTTGCAATAAAGACAAGCCTTTGAGTATTAATCCCAAAGATAAACTTTCAAAAGCCTAAAACTGAAAGAAACATAAAAAAACCTTTCCTGTTATCCATCTTGTCTTAAATTGATGCTGCCTAATGGTGAGCGCTCATGTGCCTGGAATTCTCACTGGAGGCATCCCTATGCAAGGAGACATTGATATGCATATACCCTCACAATAAACTGTAGGAATTAAGAGACTTGGGCAGGTTACCAAGAAGAAAAGTATCAAAGTGGAATCCTAGCTTTTCATTTTCATGGGTGTAAATAGAGGTCATTGAAATAGGAAAGAGACAACAAGGAGGGAGGGTTTGAGGACCACAGAGTGATTGAATACATGTGACTTTTAGGCGAGAAGCAGGATTGTTGGGGAGGACACCAGAGGGAGGAAGGAGATGGGGAGGAGAGTGGAAGAGAAGGAGGCTTAACAAAATGAGTTATGTCTAAAAAATACAGATGGCAAGGAAACCTGCTTCTTCTTTGTTTGCTTAATCAGCATACAAAGTAACTAGTTTCTTTCTAGTGTTTTCACTCCTAGTTTTCCCGGCTCCCCACCCGGTCCTCTCCTCCCCTCCCTGTTCCTACCTTTCTGTCTCAGTGGTCTCCTGTGTCACGTGTGTTCTGTTAGTCTCTTCACACCACTTCCTAAAGACCTTTTTCCTTCTTCCTCTCCTGGACCCTTCCTAGCTTCTTGACCTCTTACTAGACACACACACACACACACACACACACACACACACACATAAACACACACACACACAAATTAGGAACTAGGAACTGAATATGAGAGAGCACAGCATTTGTCTTTCCTTGTATGATACTTTTAAAAATAGCTTTGAGAAAAACAAAATAAATAGAATTAAAACTATTTTTTAAATGTAAAACTAAAGAAGAGAAGAAAAAAATCAAAACAATGATAAAAAACAAACAAAAAACAAAACAAACAAAAAACCAAAATAACAACAACAGAGACGGGGGGGTGCTGGTGAGAAAATTCAGTGGATAACTGGCTGGCCACACACACACACACACACACACACAAATAAAAATTAAAAGAAGTAAATAAAATGTACTTTGATTGTGAACCCTAATGAATTTATTTCCCCAGTTTTTCTATGCTTCATACTCAGGCCAAAATGGCAGCTTCCAGTCAAATGGATCTGTGTGTTTGGACACAAAGATGGTCTTAAGCTAAACGGAGAAGACATTTTTTGCTGATGAAAATCATTTGCAAGTCTGGGAGGGTCACTGGGTATGGAGCACTTGGCTTCTCTCCACTCTGTCTCCTATTTCCTGTTTCATGGTCATGTACACCATGTTGGACTGTGAGGAGACCCAGACCCTGACAATCCCTGGCAGCTCAGATACACATCTGCCCACACATTGCCCAAGAGAATGGCACCCACTGCTCCAGTTCTGGTCTCACAAATCAAGGAGCCCAAGTGAAAGGATGGCACTGATTTTGGATTGGAAGGTCGCCCTGCAACCTTTTCCAGCCCTCTGGGCATTATGGGAAAGTGACCTGGAAAATCAAATGCAGAGAAGAGTCCTAAAATATAGGGCTCTTGTTTAAGGCATAGTAGAACCTATTAGCTTGAGAAATTGGTCTGGAAATCTTATTAAAAGAGACAAATCATTCCACATTCTCCTCAGGCTGAAAATATTGGGGGTAATAGACACTCCCTTGTGCCTCAGATCCATACGCCTCATGTCAGGATCACAGCCCAACTCTGGCAAGGCTAGATTCAATGCAGGCAATAAAGGCAATTATTTTTTTTAAATGGGAAATTCTGATTAATTCCAGTCTCTCTGGCCAGCCGCGGACTTATCGGAACCAGTCTCTCATTACTGTGAAGGTTGCAAAGCAGAAGAGCCACTGGCAAAGAGAAATGAAGTTCAAACTGTGGATCTGTCATTACTGCACGGCTATGCAGCAGCAGACTGTCCAGCTATGGAGGCCCCTGTGACCAGCCCTCCTCCCCTACTGCCTTAGTCACATCATTTCTCAATATGCTTGGTTAACCCCTGATGGCGAGCTTAGGCAAGCCGAGGACCAATACCTTATGAATCTTTACCTGCGCATCTTTGTTACTTGGCAGGACATCCAACTTGAGAAGTTTTGACTTTACAGTGTTAAGTATCAAGTGTACAATGCACACTTGATAGAGGTTATGTAAATTGTGATTTGCAAGTCATCCTTGGGCTGATGATATACAGTAGTACTCTCTTAGGTGGTGGCAGTAAGCTGGAGATCCTAGACACCCAGAATCCTGCCAAGAAATATCTAGCCCTTTACAGTGCACAGTACTTCATCGTGAAGCTGTGGACGCCTGTAGGTTATGCGTGCCAAATGCCTTTTTTGCATCCCCGGGGGCTGAGTATAGGGCCTCCTGCATGTAAGCCAAGATCTATATCCCCTGTTCTGAATTCACTTTCTGCCTTATGATGTCATTACCCAATGATACATTTGTAGAGCTGCAACCAACCTCATCATAAGCCAAGTAATAAGTGAATGATAATAACCATGCAATAGCAATAAGTATTCTACAATTGAATTATAAATGCAATAATGTCCTGCAATGCCAAATAGGTATTCATTTCATGGCTGATACAGTACTCAAGGATTTATTTTCATGAATTAGCTCCTTTATCCCCAAAACAACCCTAACAGAGAAAGAGATGGCAAAGATTGATATGAAAGGCTAGACAGAAAATCTTGTAGGTCTCTGTCTAAACTATTCAGTACTGCAGCTGCAGCACTAGGTGACAGGACTCATAGATAATAAGTGAACAGGTTAACATGTAAGTGTCAATTAAACTTCATTTAAAAAAAATTTTTGTGGGCTGGAGACATTTCTCAGAGGTTAAGAGCACGGACTGCTCTTCTAGAGGTCCTGAGTTCAATTAGCAGCAACCACATAGTGGCTCACAACCATCTATAATGAGATCTGGTGCCCTCTTTTGGCCTGCAGACATATATGAAGGCAGGATGTGGTATACATCATAAATAAATAAAAGTCTTTTAAAATTGTATCTTGTTTGGCTATTAGGCCACAGCTGTAAACCACAGCTAAACTTAAATGATGGTATCCCTTGGGGAGAACTTCCGGTTTGCACTGGTAAGAAGGCAGGGAACTCGATTGCTTCCCTTTGTGGTACCCCATGTCTTATTCATTCTTTATCATTTTAGCTCTGGAGAGAGGAGAGAATAAAAAGCTTCATGCCATGTGACTCCCCAGGGTGAAATGACAGTTCACTGCCATCAACAAAGGAGAGGGAATTCTTCCCTCCCAGAAAATCCCTCCCTCAGAGGAAGCCACCATGCTCATAGGTTACCTCGTCAATTCCTACAAGCTGGCATGGGCTATGGCTAACCTCATCCTGTGAGACACTCTGTGTAGAACTGCTTCTAGACTCTTCAGTGGGGCTTTATGGTTAATAACTATGCCTTCCTAGTAACTCCCAGGTCATTTTTCTATCACATGGCCTCTCTCCAGTCACTAATAGCCCCCAAAATCCTGTGCCCTCAGTTGCCATCTTCCTATGTGTCTCAAATCTAAAACAATGACTAGTCAGGGTTCATCTCAATGCTCCTTAGAGACCAGGAATTTGAGGAAGCATGCTTTGCCCCTCTACAGATACCCAGACTCACGTCAGCCAACAAATCAATAGACACAAAGGAGTTAGGTAGCCATTCTCCTTGAGGATGCTCATAAACTAAAAACCTACTACAATCTGGGACTAGAGCTCCTCAGTCAGTGCTGCATTGGATGGACAGGATTCTCAAGAAGTATTCCATATACTATGGTATGCCTAGCTGAATCCTAGCCTGTGCTCATAACTGTTCCTGTAGCTATGATGAACAAAGCTGGCTTCAGACACTGGGGCAGGGAAACAAATAGCCTCTAGCTGCAAGACGCTGTCTTAGAGTGAGAAGTAACTCTAGCTACGGGCTCTAAACTCTGTATGTAGTTCCCAAGTCCAGAAATGTTGGGAAGACAGTCAACAAGCTCTCTTAGCACCTAGTGAATGTTCTTATGGTACAGGGAGACATACTTATCCTCAGTTTACACATGAGAGCAGAGGTCTGGGTGACAAAACCCATATACATTAGAGCCTGGATTTGGAGCTAAGACTGTCAAATGCCAAACTCTGTACTTTATAAAACAATTAGTCTGAATATGACTGGGAACAGTCACTGTAGACTTCTCTGGAATGGAAAACAGTTGCCATGATTGTAGTAAAATGAAAACAAGATTGCTTGCCCTTCACTTGTAGGTCCTAAAATCCTGACAGCAACATTGACAGGTAGATACTCTTCTCCCCATTTATAAGATGAGAAGATTGGGGTCAAGAATATTAAGACATAGCTTGAAGTCAGCTTAGCAAATATTTTTTAAGCCTCCCTCTCTGTTCAAAGCTTTAACATTTTATACCAAAGAAGTTGGACCTGTATCTCAGTAGGAAAGCTACAGTTTGCTTCCTGGATTGGACTTTCTGGTCATGTGTCTTGCTCATAACAAGAAAGGCTCAGTGACAAACAGCATTTAATATGTACCCTTCTTTGCCCTCAGCCTTCTGTGACCTCTTATTTTGCTTCAGCTCTGTATGCAGTACTGGCCTGAGAAGACCTCCGGGTGTTATGGTCCCATCCAAGTGGAGTTTGTCTCTGCAGACATCGATGAGGACATCATCCACAGAATCTTCCGGATCTGTAACATGGCTCGGGTAAGTACAGAGCCACCATGGCTCACTGTTCCCCTTCTTTGCAGAACAGATGGAGGTGACTGGGAGAGGATCCCACTAAGCCCGCCAAGAGTCTGTGTAACTCTCTCCTGATAAGCTCTTCCTTGGGGAAATGATGTCTTTGCCTATTCCAGAGCCAGCAATGGCTCCAGCACAGATAGATGCACAGAGCTGCATGCAGCCTGCCAGCTGCCTGTTTCCTGACACGCTAGCAACCATGTAGACAAAACTTCTCAGACATTAGCTCTTCCCCACACTGGCACACCATTCTGGTACCCTTCAGTTGGGTCTTATGAGCTTTGGACAAGGGCCTACAAACACTGACATGGAAAAATAATTAATCTCTTTCAAAGGGATAGTTACTGGTTAAAAAATGAGTAGGAGAGGGCACAATAAATCCCATGAAAAAATGGCCAAGTATTGCTCCCTACTGAGAACTTAGAGAAATGGTCCTCAGTCACTGCCCTCAGAGTTTACTATCAAGTAGAAACATGAGATAAATTGTAACAAATGAGCTTCAGAGACAGACTTCTACTTGGTAGAAGAAAGAAAAGAATTCTAAGGAAAGGAACATTGGAACTAGTTTGAAGCTTGACAGGAGTTTTCAAGGAACAGAGAAAGTTAAGCAGTATACACAGAGGTACAACATTAGGTATAAGGACACTCTATGCACATGGTAGCACAGCTGAGACCCCACTCAATTTGACTTCTACTCTACTCCAACCCCCACCAAAATCTAAAAGCTTGTATCCTTTGGTACCCCCAGCAGAACGGCCTTAACCAACGCTCTGTTCTCAGCCACAGGATGGTTATCGTATTGTCCAGCACCTCCAGTACATCGGCTGGCCTGCATACCGGGACACGCCCCCCTCCAAGCGCTCTCTGCTCAAAGTGGTCCGACGGCTGGAGAAATGGCAGGAACAATACGATGGGAGAGAGGGACGCACTGTGGTCCACTGCCTGTGAGTGTGGAGCTGGGGTGATGAGTGACTGGATGCCTGAAGGTTGTGCTGGTGGCATAGCCAGTCTGAGGCATATCCAGTAGTATCTCATCTCAACAGCCCTTACAATCCATGGATAAAATGCATCCATAGGAATTAGAATCCTTTGATGAACTGAGGGGCCCATTTTTCTAAACTATAAACTATGGATGCATGACGTGCTGCTGACGCAGGGCATAGTAGGTACATGGCTTCCCAGTGCTCCCAACACAGAAATGAGCTCTACACTCTAAAAGCAGGTATGCATATCATCCTGCTAGACATAAGAAACCTTGGGATAAAGTGGCTGTCATTGACCAGAGTACCCTTGTGTGTGTGTTTTTTTTTTCCTGAAGGAGAAGGAAAAGAACAGTATTAGCTTAGCTTAATTTAAGCCAGACATTTAATATGAATCATTTCATCCCAACCGTGAGGCTGAGACTATCATTTTGCAGTAAGAAAACTGAAAGCATTGATGTGTAAGAGAACCAAGCTAGATGCAAGAGGGACTCAGTTGGAATCGACCAGACTGTGGGCTAACGTGTTGTCTACCGTCTCACACTGTGTCTAAGGTGGAGAGGAACATTCAGGATAAAGACCTCCTAGACAGGGTGAGAATCTCTTGGACTTGCTCACTGTGTCAGCCTCCTGGGCTATACCCTACCTTGTGCTTAGTAGGAACAGGGACACAGAGCATGAGGGGAGGACACTACTGCAGTAGATGGCTTTTCAGGGCCCTGGAATCTATGTCTTACTGTGGGTTCAATGAATTCAAGACCAGTTACTGGGATGATCTTTGCTGGATGATGGGAACAGCCAAAAACAAAAAAAAGTACTTAATTATATGACCTTTGGCTTCCCCATCTGTCCACTGGATAAAGTAGATTATGTTTAGACCCTGTGGTGCTTAACCACAAAGTACTTAGCAAAAAATAATGTATCTGCCAACAGAGAGATTTAAAACTGCCATAGCAGAAAATATACAAATGTAAGTATGATTTCTTAAGAGCAGATGTCTACTATGAAGAAGGGTTCTATGTAGAGTTCAGACCCATAGAACATCTGCAGCCATAAGAGACTTACATAGGATGTTAGATCTACAAGATCTACAAGTATCAACTTTGTAGAGAATCATTTGCAGGGAAGAGACTGAGAGGCCCTTCTTCTTTAAAAATATTGTATTGCCGAAAATATGAAGCAAACTCATCTCTTTTTATCAGGATAATTCTTTCTGGAGTGAATTGAGGCATTAATTACCTTTCATTGACCTCAGAGTTGACCTGTCTTTTACAGAGCTGCTAATTGTTCACTTCCTTCCAGAGAGGTGGCTCATACATGTCAGGAAGGTCAGAACTTAGAGCAGGTTAAACACACACATGCACACTCAGAGCTGAAAAGCTCCCACTTGTAGAAACTTTTCTCTGAGAATATAGACATGCTCAGACTCCAGATATTGTGAGCTGTGCCTTCTCAGGGTGATGAACAGTGTCAGACATGCCAAGCTGTCTCTAACAATACCTCAAGACTGGCCTCCAACCCTGACTCCCTCCAGTTCTTCCCCACACATTATATGCTCCCTCACTAGCACAACACAACATCCATTCCTCAGGACTCCACAAGGCCCTGAGATGACACATCCTCTCACTTCATCCTCTTGGTCCTTCGGTTCTTATTTCAAAAGATACTAACACTCCTTGCTAGGAAGGCTTCCTACTCTCCAGTGTTTTTATATCCTGGCATAGGAGGGAGGGGTGGCTTGGTTGGTTGGTTGGGGGTTTTGGTTGTTTTCAACTCTATCTCTCCTACCCTAGCCAAGCAGAACAAGTGTGTCAGTCTACCAATAGGGACCTGGGCATCCTTGGGGACTACAGGCATCATGACAGTCACTGAAATTCAGGTACCCATCAGTTAAGGGAGGAACATTTTCTATACTGGACGCATCTGGTTATGAAGTTTCCTGTGGATCAAACATCTGGAAGATTGACTAAGTGCTCTAGTGTCTTCCCAGATGTTCCTTAGACACAGACCATTACATGAAATCATTTGCTGCCTTTGGCAGCATGCCCAGGAGTTCAGAATCAGGTAGGTTCCTAAAGATGCTTGTTTCTGTAAGGATAATTTACAGAGCTTCAGAAATAAGGAGCAACTGAGGAATGGCCATTCCAAGAACATGCAGTCCTTATACCTAAGACAAGTGGGATCCTATTTAAAGAAGATTTATAAGGGAAGCCAATGGAATTGACCTGCTATTTCAGAAATACTGAGTCGATGCCCCAGGACCACAGCCCAAAGTCAGGACTAGCTAGCCCAAGACTCATCAATTATTGTTGTCTTTATTAGAAGATAGGAATAAATACTAATAAAACCACCTAGTAATGTTCACTCCTTTCACTGGATGTCAGCTAGACCCAGAGTATACTTTTGGGCATGGATGTAGATATCACATGAACAAAGATACAATACCACCTTACCCTGACAATGTGGATCAGTGTGCCCATATTAACCATAAAATGCTTGTAGAGCCAAGAAAACATCAATGTAACTAAACCTCTTAATTAGGTAAATGGGGGAACTCAGAACTCTAAGAAGTGCCTTTCCCAAAATCATAGAAGATTCACAGCCCCAATGAGATTTAAACCAAAACCCATGGCTCAGATTAAAGTATGCATGGGTGCCTGACCACACTTCTGCTAGGACAGCTACTCCTTGCTCCTACAATGTAGCTTGAGGATAGACATGTGTCTGCATAGGGGTCCTGGGAATTTGGCTCACCTGTTCACTCTGTGTTTAGAAATGGGGGAGGCCGCAGTGGAACCTTCTGTGCTATCTGCAGTGTATGTGAGATGATCCAGCAGCAGAACATCATCGACGTGTTCCACATCGTGAAAACCCTCCGCAACAACAAATCCAACATGGTGGAGACACTGGTGAGCATCCAGGAACCGTTATTCAACATCCAAAGTCTTCAGGTTCCCAGGACCTGAAAAAAAAGTGACTGTACATGGGATATACTTTCAATAACTGGGTCTCATTTGAATACCTATAGTCTGTGCTCCTTTTTCTTTCCAACTTTAGCAATTTCTTTTTCCTGCAGGGTAATCTAAATATTAATCCCAGTCCACCTACTTTGTTTTACTTTCTGCCTGCTCCCTAAGAAAATGTCGTTAATTCAGACTTCAAGGAAGGATTCTGGAATAGTAGTTTGTGAATTATGTTTTCGATTCAGCCCAAGCCTATTCTAATTCACTTATGCTAATATTTTACAAGATCAAGCATTAAACTAGGTTGCTTTGGATAAAGGATAGCGAAGCTATGAGGAAGGCAGAGCCCAGATGTTAGAATGTGCTATAATGGTGGAGATGACCCATACAAGGAACTTGACTATAAATCTTTTAAATGTATGATAAGATCTCACATGGAATATGGCACAAAGGCTGGTAAACAGCAACATCACCTGGGAGATAGTGAAGAATTCAAAACCTTGAGCTTCATCCCAAATGGACTGAGTCAGGATCTTCATTTCCAGTGCATACCCCTACATGTTCTGCATGAAGGTTATAGTTTGAGAAGCTTTGGTGTGTGATGGAGTAACTTAAAGGGAGCGATCTCAGTTGGGAATTCTGGGAAGGGTAGGTAGAATACTCATCAGTCAGGATATTGAAGGATGTTCAGAAATGAGATATGGATAACTTCTACTTGAGTTTTAGTGTGTGTACAGATAAAGTTTTCTCCAAAATTTGCATCTCTAATCTAATGCATTCTTTTCTTTTCTCTCTCTCTCTCTTATCTCCTTCTCCTCCTCTCAGGAACAGTATAAATTTGTATATGAGGTGGCACTGGAATATTTAAGCTCCTTTTAGACTGATTGGATGGGGAACCTGCCAGAGTCCAGAAGCTGCTGCAGCTGCTCCTCTTTTTCTGTGACTGACAATGACTGGTCTCAGGAGCTCCGAGGTGGCATACCTGCCCAGCTCCATGAAGAAGACTGGTGGTCTCATGCTCTGCAGTAGGCTCTTCAGCTTCTGGGAGGGGTCTGTACCTGTGGGAGATGCTGTTCTGATGGAGACTAGCTTCCCTTCTACGCCTGACAGCACCAGGCCCACAGAAGCCTACCCACAAGCAAGGCCCTGGACTTCCTATTACCAGACCTCTTCTTGCTTTTGTTCGTTCTGAGTTTGTTACTCTCATGGCAAGCTGACTGTGCAGGTGCTGGGGTATGGGGAGCTGGCCAATCCTTCCATTACCATTCTTAGGAGTACCAGGGGTGGAAGTTCTTCTCCATGATATCTTGCAAAAGGGATCACTGGGTTATTGGTTCCTACCATCTTCCACAGGGGCCTCTGGCATGAGACACCTGCTGATCTGAATCAGTGTGACTTCTGGATACCCCCTAGGCCAAGCAGAAAGCCTTTTCATCTTACGCCTAACCTATGCTGGGTTTGACTCACTACAACTGTCTCCAGCCAGGCCTTGACCTTCTGTAATCACTCAGCAAACCTACTGTATCTACATTACACTTCAGCAAAGGTTTCCTTTGCTTTTCCATAGTCTGTAGGGGGAGGAGGGCTCATAGGAAATGTTACAGTACCTCTTCAACCTTTGTAGAAAGGACCACTCTCCTGGGGCAGGGCTCTTGCTGGCCTGCGCAGCATAACCCTGTGCTTCCTAGGTGGCACTTTCTGTGGGAAAGGCAAACAAGAAAAGCTTTGAGTATTTTCCCAAGTACATGTGAAAAGAAATTCTTATGAGAGTGTAAAATCCTGTATTCTCTTATGTCAAAAAAAAAGAAAAGAGAAGGATAGGATGGGACAGGAGTTTGAACGTGCGGCTGTACGATAGCCCTCTTGGACTTATATTCCTGGCCATACCCTTGAAAAGACCCACTGTAGGAATGACACAGCCATTGAATAAGTGAAGTGGAACCCCTGGGATCAGTCCCTGGTTTGAGGGTGGGGAAATACAGCAACACCTTTATAATTTGGCTCTCCAAATTTGAACTCTTTCCTAAAAAAAAAAAATATTCCAGCTGCCATTTTGAAATTGGCTACTGGAGCCCTAGCTTGGTTTATAATATAATAAGCCTGTTTAGGCCTGGGGCCGAGTCTTGCTCAAAGCATGAATAAATTAAGGGAAGGGGGGCAACATTATGAAGCATTTCCTGCAAGCCAAGTGCCAAGCTTATCACCTTCCATGTGACATGTCACATAGTCCGTAGCACCCCTAGGGACCCCTAGAGAATGCTCTCATTATCTCCATTTGGTCATTGAAGAAACCCGAGCACCTTCTTCAGTGATGGAATTCTGGGCTCTAAAGGCAGGTAATGTCAGTAAAACCTCCCCACCATTTTCCTCATGCTTTCTCAGCCAAGCAATTATTTTTATGGAACCAAAATAAGGCTAGAAACTTCGGAGAAGACAGAGAGGATGTCATGAGTAGAAATTTAATTCTTTCTTTCCAATACCAGTTCTTTTTGGTAGCCCAAACTTTTAGATAGATTTTATTAACTCATTCCCAGTTCCCCAGGAAAACCAGTCTTATCTAATTTCATCATTGCTAAAAACAATTCTCATGCTCCCTCAGGCTACAAGGGAGCCAGCTTGGGAAGCTCTGTAGCCTGGGCTGAGCCACAATATCTGACAGCCTTAATAGCCGGGGGTCTAGGAAGGTCTATCTTGCAGACTGATCCAGTCGCGGTGTATGAAGGACACAGAATCCAATAAGGTACACATCTTGCCCTTCAGGCCCACTGTATTGTAGGGAAGCTGAGCCATATTGTAACAGCGAAACATACAAGCGTTCAATGAGCATTGTCATGAGAGTGACTTGCTCTGCCTAGAGCTTCCTAGGCAACATCCATTCCAGTCAGGGCTCAACAGATAGAAAAGAAGAAAAAGGAAATTCAAGCCAAGGGGGTCAACATGCACAATGGTAAAGGCAAGTGAGAAGGTATCTGGAGGGACAGATGGTGGGAGGCCAGCCCAGCTAGAAGGTAGCAAGACAGGGATGGTGGCAGGAAGGTAGCCAGAGCCAGGGAGGAAATGTAAAGGGCACAGTCACTGCCCTGCAGGCAACAGGAAGCTGGCAGAGTTTAACAGCTATGCACTCAGTTTAGTTTTGGAGAAGGCTCTCTCTGGATCAGCAGGACAGCCTCTTTTCCTTTCATGAGACACTGTGAAAATGTTCCCTTCAGTGTGTGCTTTTAATTTGTTACGTGTGTGAGTGTGTGTGTATGTGTGTGTGTGCTCATTATTTTGTTGCTGGAACAAAATATGGAGTGAATCATAAGACTGAGCCTTATGTAAAACCCAGGGTCTCTGTTCTACCATGGAGCAAGATCAACAACCTTGGCCTCTAAGCCTACAAGGATAGACTAGGAAAGGAAACCAGGGAGCCAGCTCCCATTGGTTTGAGCCCAGGAGCCATCTAGAAGTCTAAGAACAACAGAGTTGATCAAGCAAGGCTGTCACTTTGGAGGGTCAAAAGGAACATCTCAAAGAAAAGGCAAGCAAAGGAATCCCATGAGTTACCATTATCCTTTGATGGACCTCTTCCCAGGCATATTTGAGCATATCCCCAGGCCCTAGGCCCCACTGGTCCTTCTGGAGTCCTATGGCTCTAGTCTCCTATATCTGAATGGACTTCCCTGTAGCCTTCTGGAGTCTGTAGCATAGCCAATCAGCATGTTGCATCCTATTTCTTCAGATCTTGGCCAATTCCAACAGAGAGAGAATGGAGGGGAGAGGATTAACTACAAATCCTAGGATTCACTCTGCTGAGAAAGGAGCTGAAGCACTGACAGATAATGATGACAGTGGTATCTGTCCTTATAAATGGTGGGAATTTAAAGAATAACTCCAAGGGAAAGGAAATGTGTGAAAATTCAGACCATGCTGAGGGAAGCCACCAAGGGCTAATTCATACTGTTATTTTCACACAATCCAACTGCCCTTAAAGAAGGTACTCTTAAAACAGTACACACAAAAAGAAAGTGGGGTACATGGACAGAAATGACATTCTTCAGATCCCTGTGGAGTACATGCAGAAGAGCACTGATGACAGTGGGAAATGGTCCTAAGGAATTTAGATGATATTTTCCCCAAGAAATCTCCCAAGAAAACTCACCTTCCAAGAGTCTTTTCTTACTCAACCTACTTATAGGGTGGGCTCATTTTGACAAGAGCAAAGGAAGGATGCGAGTGTGAATCTTCACTTAGCTGATATCTTCCCATTGGTCTCCAGTGGAAGCCAAATAGAGAAGGTATAAGGCATAAATGAGATTCTGTGAAAACTGCCCCCACTTGGGTGTATTTATGGCCTAAATGGCTTCAAGTCAGATCACACAGCTACATCTCAGCTTCATGTTCTTTTACCCTCACTGATATGATTATCATGGATGAGGAATGGTCCTGTTAGCTTCTCAACAGCCACAGCAGGTCCCCTTTATAGGAATGGGAGAGGCTGCTTACTTCAGGTGACTCTCAGTGTGAGCCTAAGAAATCAAAGCCCAGCCAGATATCACCTACTCCGTGGAACCAATAGACTCAGAGCTGTGGACTCTAAAACGTGACCTCACTCTTCAACATTCTTGAAGTATCTGTGATTATGGCCATCACCACTTTACTGGTGAGTAAAATCCAGAGGGAGAACTTTCTTGCCCATATAAGCAAACTCAACCTTATTTTCTGACCACAGGGACAAAATTCTTCCACCATAGTATGTGAGATGTTCCCATATGATTACTCTTAGCAACAGAGACAAGAGCAAAACTGATGACTCAGTAGATATTGGTAAAGCCCAGTGCAGACAATGATAAGCTTCAAATTCCTCTAGATCCTCATGTTTTACATTCATGATATATGGATTCCATTTTCTAATTTATTCTTAGTAATTTAAATATGAATGTATAATATGTATTTTTGAATCTGTCCTTTACGTCATGTATCTCTCTGATCAGTCTTAGGGAAGATCTCTGACCAAGGCATAGTGCCTGGCCATGTTCCCTCCTCCTGAAGCCAATTCTAAACTCACATTCACACCAATTTACATTCCCTTAGACGCATCTGTTGTTTTAGGGGGGTGAGGGTCTCCTGACTGTACTGCTCCTGAGGTTCAGCTAAGGTCTCTTCTTATTATAGAGTGTTCTGAAAGGTACCCACTAACAGACTAGAATAATGAGAATTTACCTGCATAGCATGTAACCCTATGACAAAGGAGAAGTCAGATGCAGATTTACTCAGAAGATCCTTGAATGCTGAACAGTATCTGTTGTTTCTGTAGAGTTCTATAGCTTTTGATGTGGGAAAATCTTAGGACACACTTCATACTTACATATGGAATCTAAAACACCCTTCCCTTCACATAGCCCAACACAATCCCTGGATCCCTATAGTCTTCAGCACTCCAGACAGATACCACTAGGAAGCACAGACTACTGTGGCATGGTACACCATGGAGAGTAGGATAAGAACTTGCTCTTCATTTCTGGAATGTAAAATATCAGGCTGAACATGGCATGGAAAAGGAAACATACACACAACATCTTTGGCCAGGTTTAAAGGGGTTAATCTGGAAGACTAGGGCAGGAAAACAAGACTTCAAATTAAAACGCAATGTATACTAAGAAACAAGGATGCTTATGGGCTATTGAGTTCAGTGATAAATGCCATGAAGAAAGAATAAAGAAAGCCACCCTTCTTTAGCCTGTAGCTTGCCACCCCTGCTAACCAAACAGGCCACTAGCACCAAGCTAAAGCAAACTTGATACTGTAGAAAGTATGTCTAGATCCAAAGCTGAACATGAACAGAATGCTGATCCTATGCTACAAGGTCAATGGATTGATTATACTGAGCCAAAATCCCGAAGAATGAATCACCAACCCAAACTAAAAGACGAGTCAAAAGATAAAAGAGAAGTAGCAATGTCCTCTCTAAGCCTTGATTTGCCTTTCTTTCCAATTGACCAACCAATGTGAGACCCTCTATGGCATCTCACCAGTTCCAACTCACAGTCAAATATAACAGAAAAATAGGAAAAGTAAATTCAACCATAGACAACTGAGACTCAACGTTGTTTGCCTACTGCTATATACAGGTTTCCTGTGTGAGGTTGTCCCTAGATACCTATCAAAAATTACGAAGTGCAGAGGTTTCCCTTTACTGAATGTTGGGTTAGCTTTGAGATCCTATCCTTTCTGAACAACAGTAAGAGAGAGAGAGAGAGAGAGAGAGAGAGAGAGAGAAAGTGAAAAGTAGAAAGTGGGGGAGAAAGAGAATAGTTCTAACTCGAGTTTTCTCTGACATATTTTAGAGTCATGGAGCTGATATCCTCAAACACAGCACAAATGTCTCTGACATATCTACATATGAATAAGCTCTTTCAATTTCTTGGCAGCCACGGATAGACTTTTGCATGACAGTGGCTATATAACTGTATTGTGGAGACCAAGAACCATCTCTTGCGTATCTCCTGTCAACTTCTACAAGCGGTAGAAGAGCTATCAAAAGGGTCACATTCACCCCTGAAATCCATCCATAAATATTAGTATCCAACAGGAGGAGTCAGTACCACATTCATACCCCGCCCCAGACCTGGAACCACTTTATCTAGCATGGATACACCTAAGAGCTTAGTGAATGTGCACTGCAGCTGGTATAGAGGATGGGCAAAAAATTGGGAGGGGAGACAACATACTGAAAAGGACTTCAGAAGGTGCTTAACCATGGGGCTTCCTTCTGGATCTGAGAGCCACTCTAGGTGGTAAAATGCTGACCCTGGTTCTTTGTTGGAATGTTTAGAGAATGAAGTATAGGAGTCTTAGAATATTGGACAGCAAAGTGATGGTATGAGACCTGGGCATTCAGGGCATCTAATGTAGGTTGTGATTCTTCGATGAGACCATGTCTAGGGCCTTTGTGAGCATGACTGTGTTAGTCTAAAAAAAATCAATCTTCTAAAGGGACAAGCAGAAGGCTAGCAT